TCCCAGGCCCTTGATCTGTTGCTGCCAGAGCTGAGTTAGTGTTCTGTGATTGACAAGCTGATCTTCCCATCTGCGGCACGCGCTGCTTCAAAGAGCTCCTTCAGAAAGCGCTTCCATTCTTTTACCACAATTTCTGGCATGGGCAAAGCACAAGTTTTCCACCCAGGGCAACTGAGTTAGAGAAGTACCAGGGCTTGCTGAAGGTTGCCCAGTTTGCAAATGTCCAAGGCCACCCTGTGCGACTCTGGAGTTACCCCAAAAGTCATCTCCTTCGGCTCCTGCAGGTGGATGACCCCCCGGAGCCAGTGTACGCGAATGTAGAGAGGCAACCTCGGGCCACTTCGCCGCGCTCCGCTGCAGTTCCTCCTCGGCTCAGCCCAGTGTGGGAGACGCACACCGACTCGGGCACTGGGCGCCCCTACTACTATAACCCCGACACGGGCGTGACCACCTGGGAGTCACCCTTTGAGGCCTCTGAAGGCGCCACCAGTCCGGCCACCTCCCGAGCCTCTGTGGGCAGCGGGGAGAGCCTGGAGACAGAGTGGGGCCAGTACTGGGATGAGGAGAGTCGCAGGGTGTTTTTCTACAACCCTTTGACGGGTGAGACTGCCTGGGAGGACGAGACTGAGGACCTGGAGGAGGAGCCCCAGGAACCGCTGGAGATGCAACCCAGCCTGAGCCAGCGAAGCCCGGGACTTCAGAGGGTGAGGGAGGGCCTCTGATCCCACCTCCAGCTTCTTAGAGATCAGAGGATAGGGGTGGAGCAATGGGGGTGGCATTTCCGAGCATCCTTGACCCCTTTTCATGCTGATCAGAAATGACGGAATGGGGGCGGGGCCACCCTCTGAGCGTGTCTGACCCCACCTCTTGCTTCTCAGGGACCAGAGAGTAGAGACAGGGCCATCTCTGAGGGTCTCTGACTTCTCTTGATTCTTGACCCGGAGGATTAGAGTAATAGGTGGATCTGGTACAAAGTTGGGGAGGCAGGAGACAGAGAACCTCTGACTCCATCTTCTGGTCCCTGCAGCCCCCGACTCCTGAAACAGACTACCCCGAATTGCTGAGTAATTACCCCGAAGAGGACTATTCTCCTGTGGGCTCCTTCAGTGATCCTGGCACCACTTCTCCCGTGGCTGCACCCCGTGGCTGGTCCTGTCACATTACCGAAGACAAGCAGACGCTGTACACCAACCAGTTCACTCAAGAGCAGGTAGGCTTCCTCCACTAGGACCTCCGCTTGAGACTTAAGGGCAGACCCACGCCACTCAGTCCTAAGTCTGGTACTCCAGCCCCTAGTACCATCCTGGACTCTGGGCTGAGGGTCCTGACCATTCCTGTGTCCACAGTGGGTGAGGTTGGAGGACCAGCATGGGAAGCCATATTTCTGCAATCTAGAGGACTCCTCTGTGCAGTGGGAGCTGCCCCAGGTAAACAGCTGGGGAAGGGAGAGCTGGGGAAGGTGGAGGGGATGATGGGTGACAGTGTCTCTCTCCCCAGGTCCCCATCCCCGCCCCTCGGAGTGGTCGCAAATCAAGCCAGGATAGTGACACTCCAGCCCAGGCTAGCCCTCCAGAGGAGAAGGTGGGGTCAGGGGTTGATGGAATATACCCCTCCCTTCCCTGTAAGACCCAGCGTAGAGGGGGCATGGACGCCCTGGGGGACATCACCCTCCCTCCCAGCAGCTGGGAGGATAGCAGGGTGGGGTGAGCCTCAGGCCTAGCCTGTAAGGGAACGTCCAGCTGAAGAGATGCTAACGTTGTTCCTTCCTGCTTTCCTGTCATGACCATTTCCCCTTCCCCTCATTCTCTTAGATCAAGACCCTGGACAAGGCCGGAGTGCTCCATCGTACCAAGACAGTGGACAAGGGGAAGAGACTTCGGTGAGGGCCTGTCCAGACCCCAAGCGTGGCAGAGTTGATGATCCAGTTCCCCAAGTGCTAAGTCCCCTTTTGCCACACTCTTACTAATCCTCGTGGTGACCATGCAAAGTCCTGTGAGGAAACTGAGGCACATAAGGTTCCTTGCCTGCCAGCTATTATGTGGTGGGAATCCAATTCTGTGGGGGTGAGTCCTC